TCATCATCCAATACATGACGTAGTAACCACACTCATATGATCCGGTTTGTCTATTACACTACAATATATCATCATAATTATAAAATGTTAAGCAACATCATTGGAATGATACAAAATGTAACAAAGTATGGACTAAAATACCAAACCTTAAGGTTCACCCATCCAAGCTTTTTAGTTGTAGCAGTAGATCTCCCAGAAAACATCATACATTATCAATCAATTTACATTATCATCCAATTTAAGACAAACAATTCAAACTTTTATTCCCCTAATTTCTATATCCCTAATTCAAAAATATATATCAATCAATTTACATTATCAAGTAATTTAACACAAACAATTTAAAATTTTATTCACCTAATTTTAATATTCTTAATACATTTGGCTAAACCCTCTATCCCCTTCCCTGGATTATCATCAACAAACACTACCATTGCTACTATAATCAATCTGAAAATGAAAAAAAATTTAAAATGGTGGCAACAAAGACAACTTACCACAAGTAGGAGGAGAACCGTGGCTGCCACAATAGAGGCGAAGGCGCTGCGAGGAAGGTTGAGCCGCGAGAGAAGGAGACAAAGGTGTGGAAGGTTGAGGTTCGACGAGGGAGAGAAGAAGAAGAAATGGAGGCGGGGCAAGAACGGCGACGGAGGTGGAGGGGCAGCGAGGGAGGTGGTAGAAGTGGGCAGTGGTGGATAAAGAAGAGTGACAGTGGCACAGAAGAAGAAGAAATATCGCGTGAACAAAACTGTTCGCGATTCTGGAAATGTAATACTAGAAAACGATATTACCTCGGTTGATCCACTTAACTGAAGAAGAAAGGGCCTACTACCTCGGTTTTCGGCACCATCGATGCGTAAACATTTCAGTAAATGGCATTTTTGAAAATAATTTGACCATATATGCCTTGGTTAGGTGCCCAAGCGAAGCGAAAAGACTTTATGGCCTCGGTTCCCAACAACCGAGGCAGTATCAATTGATTTTTATGAATTTAGAACGTTCTCTTTTACAGGGAGCATGTTTGTGGCATGATATACTACTTTGGTTGCTTGCAGAACCGAGACAGTATGCTTCTTTAGTCAGTGGCAAAAGGGGGATTTGGTAGGAAGAGAGCTGAAAGGACAAAGTGTGTAGGGGTATATGCCTCGGTTGCTTGTGATAACCGAGGTAATATCTTGGTCTCCAAAAAGGTGTCAGTTGAAAGGTCAGATTTGGAGGGCTATATGCCTCGGCTGGCCGTAAAAACCGAAGCAATATCGTATTTAGGCATCGGTTTGCTTTTAACCGAGGCATATAGTGTGGTGAAAATTGCAGAATTGCCACCGCGTTTTGATACGCTTCGATTTTCCTAAAACTAAAGCGTAATGTGCGAGTTATAATCCCCTTTTTTTACTAGTGAAAAAGTATTTATAGAAAACAAGTAAAATTACATTAAAACATAATTATTTGTGATTGTGTTCCCTAAATGCATTACTTTGTTTGTCTAGGACTCTACAAAGTATGTACTGCATGGAATAATTCAAGTATGATTCACATATTCAAAGAATAAAGGTCATGAACTAGAGACGTATTGAAGACGATTCACATAGTCACTAAACATGGCCGATTAGCATAATCCATCACATTTTCCATGCCTCCATCAACACATCCCATGCCTCAATAGAATCAACTAACATTTTGCATTTAGCTTTAACATTTTTAAGGATGTGGAACCGACATAACATCTGATATGACTTAGGGAATACATTTGCAGTGACATTCATCAAAGCCAAGTCTCAATCACTCACAATAACTTTAGAACCACCCTCAGATGTCAAAAATAAACCTTTCAGCCTTTCCAAAGCCCAAATGAAATTATTTTGCCTTTCACTTGACAAGAATGCAAATGCGACTGAGAAGGTTAATCCCACAAACGTGATGCCGACAACCTCAAGCAACAAAAGTCTATATTTGTTTGTTTTATACGTCAAATCCATCAAGAATACAATGTTAAATGCGTTTAACAATTTCACCGCATCAGGATGTGTTCAAAAGAGGTCACTAACAACATCTAATTTGTCGACAAACCTACTACAATGAATGTACTTATCTGGATCCAACATCATCATAAGCTGTTGTAGTTCTGTTATGGATCCTCTCAATGATCATTTATACACATGCCTTACGTTGTAAATTTGTTTAATCGTTTTGACATTATGCTCATTATTTTCTTTCAAGGTTAATAAAATATTTGCAGTTGTAACTTTACTCTTTGTCATATCAACGAGGAATGACTGTTCACTTAGATTTAACCTGCTAGCATATGGGTGACCAACTAAAGTTTCAGCGAAATCATGATTGTGATGTCTATACATCACTTTCAACACCCATTCGTCCTCATCAGAACATGGTTTACCTTTTAACCTAAACGAATACTCACATTTTTTAGTATTGTATACACTAACCTCTGCATTAGGTTTGTATTTTTTATATTTCCCACTTCCTTCACATGCAAGTAAGACGAATATCTTTCTTTTTCGTACACCAGTAGCTATGTCAGATATAGCTATAACCATGACAAATCTCAAATCATAAGCGATTCCTCTCACCCATTGAATTAAGTTGTAGAAAAAGTTTGGCCAATTATCTCAACCAAGAAGGGGAAGGGGGGGTGAATTGGTTTTCCCTTTTAAAAAATTGTTCTTTCATAACTTTTTCAAAATTTTTTAAGTTTTCTTGGAATGCAATCAAACAAGAATATGAACAAAAGTAAAAGACTAAGGATAGAAATATCAACACATAAATTTATACTAGTTCAGCCAAGCCTAAATTCAGTCTTTCTTCAACAACCTGAGTTGAAGGGAACCACTATATTGATAGAGTTATACAAGAAAGAAATACAGAGAACTACCCTCTCAAATGTACTCTCCTTTTCCAACTCAATATCACCTATAGCATAAGACGTGAACACCTCACAGTCTCAACCCATAAAGCTATCCCACTCTCTATTACCTTAGAGGAAATCCCAACTCTAAGAACTAGAACACACACGTTCTCTTCCTGGCTCACAACAACAAGGAAACACAATCTTCTTGATTGTAGATGAACATTGATCACAACAGAACACACCAGATGTGCTGATTTGATTAACAATGTGAAAGCACTTCAATCTTGCAAGAATCTTTATGAATTTCCTTCCAAATGAGTAATCTTGATTCTCCAAGAAGATCATGATGCTCCTGTAATTAATTCTCAACAAACCAATTAGTTATGAAAGTGTAAGATCATAAAATCATTGAGAGACATAGAGAAATGTGTCTATTTATAGATTTTTCAACTCTAACACAGTTTAATCGATTAACCACTTAATGTAATCTATTAAGCTTTTCTCTCTGTTTTAACATTTTTACACCAGTATAAGATTTAACATATTAAGTGCAACATGTAATTAATTATATAATTCACACAAGCCAATAACAAACAAATATGACATTATAGGTAGTTATGACCTTTCAAGAAAAATGTTTTCACTTAAAACGCATTTTAACCGATTTGAAAAATAATTTAATCAGTTAAGTTCCATATACTTAAGCAAATTTGAAAACATTTTTCATTCAAAACACTTCAATGCACTCAACAAACATATGTTGGCATAACAATGTGTTTTAATCTATTATACACTTAATGTAATCGGTTAAAACAAAGTTGTTTTGCCCCTGTTAAGCATAAACACAAATCTGAAGAAATTTAACAAATTATAAAAGAATGTAATTGATTATTTCTATCAGATATGCAATGTGCAATGTGTTTCAACTTATGGTCCATTTCCAATCAATAAATACACATACCAAACAGTTCAAGCACAAACACATATATAATCAAGCAATTGTTTTGCCATTTTGTTGTGCAAGAAACTATAAAATATTTCTTTTGTTCATCATCAAAAACATATATGTGAGATGTGTTCATCTATACACAGTCTCCCTATCAACATAAGTGATCGCGAGAAAGAAATATTTCATTTGTAGTAAAATTATTTGTGAAATCTCTCTTTTCAACTTTTCTTTTATGAAAGAAGAAAAATCTGATATAAAACTAGAATGAACTTGAGAATCCATATCATGATGATATTCTTCCATTTGCACCTGCGAATAGCTGCTCAAAGGCACTAGCACCACCCACCACACCGCCGTGACGATCACTAGACCACCTTCTTCCACCAAACGTCTTCACCAGCACAAAAGCACACCATCACCACACACCAATACCAACCACACCATGCACAATAAGCAAGCAGAGAAGAGAAATGAAAGGATGAGAATGAGAAGAGCATAGTCTCTGTGGGGTGTGGCTTAAAATAGTGGGAATATAGTTATTGGAGTGATTGAAAATTTAAAAATTAGGTGAAGAAATAAATTGTTTTAACCACAGTAGTTTAATTTTGACTGATAAATAATTGTGGAAGGGTGGTGGAGGAACAAACATGTGGTAGTGTAGGGAAAAATCCTCCTTCTCATTCTTGAAAGATGTTGTTAAATATTTGAGTGTAAATTATTTGATATTTATTATAAGATGTAAATGATGTTGATAAAAATATTTAAAAATCAACAAAAAGAGAACAACTACATGTATTATTGACGCAGTCTCAATGTAAATCAAATTTAAAAAAAAAAGAAAAATGTGGTTGAGTATCTTCATGATCACTTTATTTCTCTTTAAATATTTTTTTATTACATTTTCGCACGTATTTTTATAGCTACACATTAATTTTATCTATAAAGATAATCCATTCTTAATATTGTGGAGAAAATCAATGCAAACATTAGGATCATAGACATAGTAAATTATCTTTTCCAAAATTCGGATCATCATCCCTAATTTTATTTTTCGGAAAACATCTCCCCCAGATCTCTTTGTTTCTTATGGGATTTACAATTTTTCTCTCCTACAACTAACGTTGGCACGTTTGCGTAAAGTAGGGTTTTTCACGTTCCTTCTTTCGTGTGCATCTCATCACATAAATGTCTTCTTTTCAACATTCTCCGGTTGTTCCTCAAGAACTCATGGCAGAAATTTTGTCGAGGCTTCCAGTGAAGGATCTGATGCGATTCAGGTGCGTTTCAACATGGTTGAACCACCTCGTATTCGATCCGACATTTGTTAAACTGCACCTTCAAAGGTCTTCCAAAAACACACACATCTTATTAACCTTCAGAGACTACGAGAACGATGAAAGCAGGCACTGTGCAGCACCATGTTCCTTACAAAACTTACTTCACAACCCAACATCCACCGTTGACGTTTGTCACCGATTCAACCACGATTACACTATCTTGGGTGTATGCAACGGCTTAGTTTGCTTGCAAGATTCTTACCGTGGAGATGAATTTGAAGAATACTGGGTTCGGTTCTGGAATCCATCCACAAGGGTCATGTGCGAAGATTCTCCACACATACGTATTCGTTCCGGTGATTACAACTACCCTTATTTGTTTATGTTTGGGTTTGGCTACGATGATTGGAGTGACAGATACCAAGTTGTTTTTTTGGATAATAAATCACAGAAATTGGAGATTAGGGTTTATTCTTTAGGTGACACTTGTTGGAGAAACACTTTAACATGTGATGCTTTCCCTGCGTTGGGTCTTCATGGAGCTTATGCGTGTGGCCATTTGAACTGGTTAGCACTTCCCAAATGCGGTTCTGGTTATCGATGGGCAACTGTTACAATGAAGGACTTAGAAATTTTTTCTTACGATTTGAAGAATGAGAAATGCAGTTATTTGTCTATGCCTGATGGTCTTTCTGAAGTGCCTCCTGATGTGCCTGTGCTTGAGGTTTTGAAGGGTTGTTTGTGTCTTTCTCATCATCAAGGGACATGTTTTGTTGTTTGGATGATGAAGGAGTTTGGAGTTGCAAAATCATGGACACTGTTGCTGAATGTAAGTTATGAACATCTTCGTATTCGTGATCCTCATGGATTGCCTGCTCTTCCAGTCATTTTGTGTTTGTCTGAGGATGATAATGTTATGCTGCTTGCAAGCTACGATACTGCGGAATTTATTCTATACAATAAGAAAGACAATAGAATAGATGATCGTGAACTTTTCAATGAAGACAAGTTTTATTTTTTCTCGTATGATTATGTTCAGAGTTTGGTTTTTCCGTATCGGAATTAAGTTGTCTTATGTTTTCTCAAATGAGTATGTTAAGTTTGGGTGGTTCATTGGATTTATTACTTTGTTGCACTATTTTCTATTCATAATGTTGTCTGTTTTGGATTTCTTTTTGCTCCAATTTTTTTTTCTTTGTTGATGTATCTTATTTCAGAGTCTCCTTAACTCCTTCACTTTCTCTCATTAATCAGTAAATAAAAATATGTGAAATGTAAATAAGTAGGTTTTGGAACCTAGATCACTATTCCTAAATCCTAATCTTATTACAAAAATAAAATAATCTCCATTTAACAAACTTTATATTATGAGATTTTATACGTTTAAAGGTAAATATGATTGTCTTATTATTAAAGTAGATAAAAAAATTTAAAATTACTTTTATAGGCAAGCTGATCTACTCAACTTGAAATGAAAAAAAAAAAAATCATGCAAGAGTGCATGACTTTAATTTTGAACAATTTAAAAAGTGAAGTCTTACACTTTTACACGATTTCTCTAATCGATTACAAAACTTTGTAATTGATTAAGTAATCTTGAAATTGTTAGAAGGTGTATGTGTAATCGATTACATATCTATTGTAACAATAAATTACCAATAGGAAAAATAGGTAAATTAAGATATAATAAATTATAATTTAAGTTTTAATTATAATGGATTATACTTAAAATAATTTATTATGATTATAAAGTATTTGTTTCTTTTTCCTAATTATAATTAAGATATAATTGATTATAAATGCATATGATTTAAGTTTTAATAATCATAATCAATTATATCTTAATTATAGTCTATATTGAAATTAAAACTTAAATCATAATCATTCATAATCAATTATATCTTAATTATATCTTAATTATAATAAGGAAAATTAGTAGATACCTTCTAATCATAACCATTTATATCTTAATTATAATCAATTGCAATTAAAATTTCAATCATAATCACATATATCTTAATTATATCTTATTTTACCAATTTTTCTCAGTAATAAACGATTACAACTCGTACATCCCCCAAGTATTATGTAAAAGATTATAACGTTTTGTAATCGATTACAAATGTAAAAAAAACATGAGAAGTGCACAATTTCACCTTTTTAGATTGTTCAGACTAAAGTCGTACACCTCCTACAAGACTTCTGTAGTTGAAATCGTGTAAGGACTGCACGACTTACCTATAAACATAATTTAAAATTTTTTTGTCTACTTCTATAATAAGACAATCAAATTTGCTTATAAAGTTAAAAAATTATGATACAACTTGTGATCTTTTCAAATCCTAAACATTACAAAATGCTATCTAAATCCCTAGAGTCTATACATAACAAAAATAACATCATAGAGTATATCCAACATTTTATGAATAACATACTGCAGTAGATTTGGCTCACATCTATCAGTGGTAAAAAAACTAATTTCCACCAACTTTTTTCATATAACATCCAAATTTTGTCCTCACTACCTTTCCCTCGTAATTCTATGTTATTAGTAAAATTGATGTATATAAGCAAAGTCAAGCAAAATAAACTAGTACTCTATACACAAACTACACGAAATGTTGTATGTAAAATATTCACAAGTGTTTTGAACTTAGTTTGAAGATCATATGCTAAATGACTTAGAGGGAGTTATATTTGTAAATCTTCCACTTTTGTAAAACTATTCTCTAGTGTAAAGAATGTTTAGAGATTTTATATCTTTAAGAGTTTTCCTCTAACACTAGTGATTTTGTGCACTTGAAGGAACCAAGAATGATTGTGTACTTATCATCACAAAGATCCTGTCATCATTTTCAAAAATTTCATCACAAAGTTTTATCTAAAAACCCTTTAATCCTATATACATTTAACATGTAAAACAAATTAAATATAATTGAAAATAGTACAAATTAAATAGTACTAACTTTGGTAATTGAGGAAAAGACCCAAGAGAAAGAGGAGAGAAAGAGAAGAGAAAGAGAAGAGAAGAGGAGAAGACCCAAGTGATAAAATGTCATCATTTCAAGTGTTCTCATGAGATTATTGCCAATTATCTTGCTTGATCAAACAACTACCATATTTACTAACATGCCTAGTCCTTGTCAATTTCAACTACTGGTGCCTAAGAGGGGAATGATACACGATATGGATATTTATAAAGCTCTTAGGTTTTATTTTTACTTAACAATACATTTGACTCAAACATATAAAAATTATTCGCAAATTGGTTTGAACTTAAACAAATAAAAACAAACTAAACCAATTTTTGTGATTTGGTTAGAATTTGCTATTTTCTGTATGAGTTTTTTTATAAGTACATGTATTTAGATTTTTTTTAACGTGATACCTTAATATTATATCATGATTTAATTATTTATTTCACTATAATTAAATATTTGTTTCTTTCAACATTATGTATAATATTAAATTTTTTGTTATATTAAACAATTGGTTCATATATATTTCTTTTCTATCAGAAACACAATTAGAATAAAATATTAACGCATAAGAGTTATCTAGGTTTTTAGTAAAATGAAAAAAAATGTGGATTATTATGTTGTATTCATACATTCATTAGTACATATGAAGCTTTTAACGATGGAAGGCTAAAAAAGATTTTCAAAGACAATCATAGAACGTCGTTAATTAAGTTGTTGTTATAAGTTTAAATAATTGACGACAAGTGAATTAAACTATCATCATTTGGTATCAAACCGGTGGTGATGGTGATGGTGATAGGCGATAACATCATTTAATAGTTTTTTTTACGTTGGTGGTTTGGTGAGCGACCAAAGACTATAATATAAATATCATGTAATCAAATATTATGTTGACTATAATTTAGTCATTATTATATTTTGTGCAGATTTGTGCAGTTGTCATTCTTTTAATAGATGAAGAATTATAGGACTTTTATATGTATATATATGTTACCCTACTCTTTGACATAATAATCAGAATTATTCTTTGAACTATTTAATATGGTATTAAGAGCCAAACACCAATATCCTCTAGAATATAGGAATCAATTCTTCTTCTTTTTCATTGAATATTTCTGATGACTTCTTCCGATAAAAATCAATCGGAGAAACCTGATTCTAGGATTCCCACGGCTTTCAAGAATTATATTTCTACTACTGCCGAATTTGTGACCAAGTCAGGTATATTTAACTCTGCCCTTAATCTTTCTATTTTTACTAAGGGTAGTGATTGGATAATTGATTCAGGTGTCACTGACCATATGACTTGTGATCCTCACATATTTACTAATTTTTCTTCTAATTGTTCTAAAACTGTTATTGTTAATGCAATGAGGTTTCATCTCTTATTGAAGGTGTAGCTACTATATCCCTCTTACCCTCCTTATCAATTATTGATGTTTTATTTGTTCCTACATTAAACTATAATCTTATCTCCATCAACAAGTTAACCAAATCATTCTTGTGTTGCCTTGTTTTATCCAACCCATTAATTTTTTCAGAATATTCATTCCAAGGAGAAGATTGCCAGTAGTTAAGAAAGTGAAGGATCATATTATCTTGAAAATATCTCATCACAACGAACCCATAAAAGAGTGTTGGCTTGTCTTGAGAATGATCACATACAAGATAAAAACAAAAAGAAAATTTGGTATGGCATAGACGGTTAGGACATCCCTCTTTTGATTATTTAAAAAAATTATTTCCATCATTATTTCATAAGTGCAATATTTCTAATTTTCTTTGTGAAACTTGTGTTATGGAAAAAAGTCATCATGTTGTATTTCCTTTAAGCAATAAAAAATTGATTTTCCTTTTTCATTAATTCACATAGATGTTTGGGACCTTGCCCTACAATTTACACATAATGAAAAAAATGGTTATCAATTTTGTTGATGATTGTACTCGGGTAACCTGGGTATATTTTCTTAACCATAAAAGTAATGTGTGTGATGTGGTTCGAAGTCCCATCTCATTTATGGGGTGAGGCTGTGAGCTCTGTCGTTTATTTAATTAAACAAACCCCTTGTAGTGTGCTTAACTTTCAAAGTCCTTTCGATGTTTTGTTTGATCATTGTATCATTCCTTCCATAGTTCATTTACAACCTGATGTTTTTGGACATCAATGTACAAAGCTTGAAGAACGAGCTATCAAATGTGCTTTTGTTGGGTATGGATCAACTCAAAAAGGTTATCGTGGTTACCATCCACCATCAAAGAAATTTTATATCTCTATGGATGTGACATTTAATGAGCATGAATTGTTTTATGTTGATTCTACACTTCATGGAGGTAATGAAAGTGAAGTCTTTGGAGACAGACAATATGAGTCTCCATGTGACAAGTACATAATAACAGAGGATGAGTGGATGCAGTTTCGTGCATCTAGAGAGTCTGAGGACTGACAAGTTTGTTTCTTAACATATTTCTTTAGTTAATTATTGCATTTTATTATGATTTTACACTTATGAATATACATGGTTTCATAGGATAAAATGTTAGTCGTTCAAGAAAGACAAAGGCTAAATGGTACACCACACGTGTTATCATGAGGTGGTTATGCATTACTTGAGAAGAAGATGAGAAAGATTCGATCGGAGAGCTTAGGACTTGAGTCCCCCGACCTAGCACCTGCACCTGCTAGGTACGAGATGTGGAAGGATGCTTGGACTAAGTTTGATGGGAACATGACATCTTCCTCAACTGCCTTGATCTCACAAAGAATTGTAAGTTCAAATTCTAAACATTGTTTGATTGTGTATTATCATCGCATGTATTTTATGTAACAAAGTTTTTTTTATATGCAGGATGAGTTGGTTAAGCAGCAGACTCAAGGAATAACATTTGTTGGACAAGGTAGGGACGTCATTCTAACAATGACCATTGGAAAGTCCGAGCACCCAAGACGTGTACGTGGAGTTGGTGGGGCGGTTGGTCTTCATGACTACTTTGGGCCTCACGAGAAAGCACTCAATCAATTAGTCAGGAGGCACTGAGGAAGATGGATCTTCAGTGGGAGGAAAGGCTCAACCAAAGCATGAGATCT